AGGCCGGGGCAGAGGTATTTTAAACACAGACATTGAAGCCATACTTTGATGGACAGGAGGAGACTCGCTCCTCCAGCTGTCCAGGGAAGAATGAGAGATGCCACCAGGAGCGGGGCAGCAAACAGCCACCCTCCTGAAGCCTGTAACCCTTAAAAAATATATATGTATATCTATTATTGCCACCGAAGAGTTTTAAGAGCCCCTTGCACCACAGATAAGATGAATGAATTCACTGGGCTTGGTCTTGTTGTGTAAGGGAGGAACTGGTTCGTAAGAGGAGGGGAAAGGGCAGACCTGGATATATGCTGTCTGAGGTATGGTCAGAGGAGAAAAGTGCAGCGAAAAGGAAATGCAAAAAAAATTTAAAAAGCAAAAAAAAAGGCATTTAATAGGTTGGCTCTGAACACATCTCTTGTATGAAAATGATTGTCAGAAAAGTCACTAGTGAAAATAAGGTAAGAAAATATGTTTGCCATCGAGGTACCTTTCTGCTTCTTTCAACCACAGAAATTAACCCGAAGTCCATCAAGTGTTTTCTGTTCACCACAGGAATACTCTTTGGAAAGCTCAAGTTACGTCATCCCAGCACACATGTCCCAGGATGCCATCAGTTTGCAGGGTGAAGAGAAGACCCTCAGCCCAACACGGCTCCCCAGAGCCTCCCCGCGTCTGTCCGGGGAGCAAGGGGGGGACACAGGTCTCCCACAGGTCCTGCCCCAAAAAGCCGCCCAGGCGCCCGTCTCTCCCACGCCAGCATCCCTGCCATGGCACGCTACCCAAAGCGAAACTTCAGCCGGTACTTGACGGGGCTGGGGTTTTTCCGAGGTGGGGAGGGGGCGACCTTCGGTTTTGGTGGCGGCACGGGCTTCTTTTCAGGGAGGGTGACGGTGAAGGCGAGCTCGGGGGGCTGGGGCTGCCGAAAGCGGGGGAGGAAGTGTGTGGAGACGTGTTGAGGCCGGGCACGGGGGCTGCAGCCCCGCTTGGCTTTGCCCCGCTTGTTGAGCGCCACGTACCACTGGCGACCCGAGCGCGGGCTGCGGTGGACCACCGAGGCGTAGGTGTTGTAGCTGTTCTCCTGGAAGCGCTCCCGAAACTGGCAGTCCACCGTGAACCGGGCCTGCAGGGAGAGAGCCAAGGGCACTGTTAGCAAAGGGCTAATTTTACCCATCTCCTGCCCCATGGTGCTTGTTGGGTTTTTAAGTCTCCCCAAATCTGGTCCAAAGGGACAAGCAGCAACACGGGGCACCTGGGAAACCCATACCGAAGCTACTGGGTACCCAGCAATTTGGAAAACCTCCAACACAGATATTTTCAGTAGCTGCTTGCCACTCAATTTTGGACTTTCTTGGAAAAAAACATGCTTGGCCTACCCCAGCAGCACCCTTCCCTCCCACTCCAGCAGCCCTCCCACTTTTCCCACTGACAGGAAGGAGGATGTGGCTCTTTGCTGCAGCCCCGCCAAGGACCCTGGCATTGAGTGTCTGCTCCATCTCCATTCCCACCCTCGTACCCCTCAGTTGGGCACTGAAGCATCGCTTAATAATCTGGAAAGGCAATTTGCATGCAGATTTTCATTGCTTCACTGAACATGGCTTTGATTGTATTGGATTTTTCTTCTTCTTCTTCTTCTTAAATGAACTCAGGGCATTTAGTCCCTTGATAACCTGAAGAAATTACTTGCTGCCCAAGACCATCGTCTCCTATAAGCAAGGCGGATGCACTGGCTCCCAGATGTCCAGGAGGAAAGGCTTCCCATTGCCCAAGAGCTCCTTGCTGTTGTCAGGTGGGGGGAGGAAAAAAACGCATGCAGAAATACAAAAATAGACCCTTAACACCCCACGGCCCTGGGACACCTGGCTGCAGCCTCCAGCAGCCCGTCCAAAATTCCATGCCATGCTTTAATCTGATCATGGGCATGGTACCTGGTGCCCTGACAGCTTCTCGGGCCATGCCTGGGGCACCACGGCCTGATTGCAAAGCCACACTTCAAAACTATTGATACGAAAGGGATGCTGAGGTCTCGAGCTTCAAACCCCCCGCAATGGAGAACAGGACAAAACCCCCAAGCAGTGCTTTATAACCACACAGTAGGACCAACCAGCTGGGACCATTTTTATACTGATTTAACCAGAGAAGCTGAGTCCTACGAGTGACAGAGTCCTCGGCCTGCCATGCATTTTTTTCCTCATAGCACTTTGAATTAAGTCTCCTTTTGCTCTTCGCTTGAACGAAATGTCACCTTGATGACTCATTTTTGCTTTCCCCGTCTTTCATACATCCCCGATGCTGTATCGCCTAGGCATGAGTATTCACCCTCCCGAGGCAAGGCTTTGCGCACCCCTCGTTGCTCTCTGAAGGCCCGGCACACGCAGCAGTGCTTGGGCGAGACCCCCACATCAGCCTTTGCACAGGGAGGTTTTAGGGTTGACTGAGGCACCAACGCAAGCCTGAAAGGGTGCTCAGCCCCAGTGTTTCCCAGTGGGATTTGGGAAAATGGCAAGAGCAGGCTTTTTTGGTGTAGGAGACAAAAGTTGGCTGCCCTGCTCCAGGCATCCAGGCTGGCCGTGGCCGAGGATACAGCACTGAAACTGGCTCCCCAAGCTTTCAAGCGCTGCTGTGAATAGAGAGAAGCTGGTACCCCTGCTCATACGTATCCCTGTACAGACAAGTAATCCCGATGCTGCTTTGCTTGTGGGTAAGCTGAATCAGCATTTCCAATCTGGCCCAGCATTTTTGGGTCACCCCACAAAGGGAGGTGGTAATAAGAGGGCTGCCTGGCTCCCCATCTAAAGCATCACAGGAAAAGCTCCTGCGTAAAATGGTTTTGGAAGAACTGCTCCCTAAGAGTCGAAATAGCATCCCCTCCAAAGTGGGATTTGGGGATGTGGGAGGGATCCCCAGCCCTGGACACGGAGGGATGCTGTGGGCTGCTCCCGCCGGCGGTGTGGGGAAGGAGTAAACCCTCAGCCAGCAGGCATGGAGGGAAACCCTCATCCCTAGGCGGCAAACTGCCCCAGGAAGCACATCAGCACCCTCACTCTGACAGGCTTCCCTGAGTCCCAGCCTCGCAGCTCAGCAACCGCACAATTTCAGCCAGGGGAAAGGCATTTTTCATGGCACAGGGCAGATGGTGCAGCCACGGCACGCTGACTGGCCATCGGATTTGCTCTGCAGCAGCTCCAGAGACAGTCATGAAGAGCAATCCTGAAGTCTGTTCAAAGTCCAACTCAAATGAGATTTGCTCCAGTGAGGAAAGTGGCATTTGCTCAACTCAGAACAACTTCTGAGAAAGGAGAATTACCTGAGCCCACTGCAGGCAAACCTCTCCACTGGGGTTCATGCCGGCCCCTGCCGAGACCAGCACCAAACCCCCTCCTGCTCGTTCCATGCCAAAAATGTACAAACAGGGGACCAAGGATTTAACAACGAGGAAAAAGCCATCTGTGCGTGCAACTGATAATTGCCGGGATTACTGTCATTTTCTGAAGCGCGTGCCTCCAAAAACAAACTGCTTGGTAATTTAATTAAGTTGCCATCAAAAAAGGGCTGCTGTAAAGCATCGAGCTGGGATAAAGCCGGGCCCCGAGAGCTGGTTTCGAAGGAGTCTGAATCCCTGCAGGAATGACTTTTATCTGTAGTTCAGCACAAAGTCACCGGCGTGACTCCCATATCAAAGCGCTGTCCTGAGTGACGGGCGCAGGGCGCGCTTTGTACTGCTCAAAACTCATTAGGCCATGAAATAACTTTATCCTGCCAAGGCAGGAAAGAACAACAGATGCCGGGTTTGCATTATCGGCGTTATTTAGCCCAGCAATCTTTAGACATTTGGGTCAAGTTTCTACAAATTCGCGGCTTTCATCCGCACGGGGCATCGTGTGTCTTCACCCCCTGCTCTGACCCGCCTAATTGAGGTCCCTCTCCAGCACTGCCCTTTGTGTGCTGACAATTAACCATACACCGATGAGGTTTGATTTAATTTCTGCCTGTGCCAGGGCATAAATCAAGGCTTCATCTCAAATAAGAGGCCCATTGTACGCCAGGAGGGAGAGGAGGCTCTGGAGGGTCTGGGGATCATGCTCCGCCTGCTTCGCTCTCCTTCCTTTACGTTTCCATTGCTCCCCTCCTGCTCTGCCTGTTTCCTGCCCCACTCCTTCCCTCGTGTTTTCCTCCATGCAGCCATTTCCCTTTTCCCCTAGATGCTGTTCCCGCTCCTACTTTGTTTCCTAAAATAAGCAACCATGTGCTCACCCTTTAAGCATCATTAGACTTCAGGAGCGACACTCCAGTAAGACTCAAGGGAGAGAGAGACTAGTTCATAAATCTCACCTGAAGGCAATCTGCGGGCTTGGGCAGCGTAAGCCCGTAGTAACATCCACTTTGTGACCATGAGGCTCGTAACCACAGGACAGCCAATTGGCTTTTGCCTTTTCCAGGCTATTGGCCGTCAACAGGCTCCCTGGGAACAAACTAGGGCAACAGGTCATCCAAGATGCTATGCTAAAAATGCCCCTCTGGGTGTTGCATTTATACACACCTTTAAAAATATTATTAGTTTCATGTAAGCACAGTACTTATTTTAATTTAAACAAATGATCTCTAGAACCAACAGGAAAAAATTAAGAAGCAGCATCTTGAAGTTGAAAAAACAAATTAAATCTACTTATAGGATTCATTTGATTCAATAACCACAATTACACCTGCAGGAAACCCCAACCTTCAGGAAAACAGCCTGCAGAACCAAGAGTTACTGGGATTTTTCTGCTCTAGATGCAATGTTCCCACACGAGCCGGACCTCACCTGCCCAAAACCCTGTGCGCAGCCGCACGCTCTCACCATGGGATGTCTCCTCCCCATGGGCGAACCCAGCCAAAACTCCAGGGTCACAGCCCCTTCCTCGCACATGCATGGGCGCAGGCAGGCTCCCGGCACCACGCATGCCGCTCTCCAGGAGACATTTGGCTAAAACCGTCTGCGCGATCTGCTGCAGAAGTTGCTAAAAATAAACTGGCAGTGTTCAAAGAACAAGTCCTTTTGATGCAAATACCCAACTGGAGGGGAAAAATTTTTTTTAAAAGGCATTTTTCTTGGTTAAATGCAGTAAGTAGGGGTATGGGCTTTGGGGTTTTTGGCTCCTCCTGTCCCCTATCTGTCTGTGCGATGCTGATGCCACCCAGTGCGGAACCCTCCTGGTAGCCAAAGGGGCTCAGCACACCGGGGCCCTGCCCGGGAGCATCACTGCCACGTGCACGTGAAGGTGTCACAAGGCCTTTAATAAACAATACATACTGATAAGCAGGGGGTTTACTTACACTTGCATGGAGTTTTCCTTTTTTTGACATCGCTAAAAATTTGTTGCTGAAAACTCCTCGTATTCCTACAATCCCCTGAGACACAGCAAATATTTCCAAAATACCTAGGATGACAGAAATCCCAAAATAAATCACAATTCTTTTCACATCGGTGTGACAAAGAAAAAAAAAAGAATAATCAGTCTCATGGGTTTGCATTTCGTCTCCACATGACCCTGCTCCTCCTGCTCCTGGCTGCCTGGCTCCATGCAGCGCTCCTCCTCTGTGCAGGGGGACCTGCATCGACTCCGGGATGACTACCGGTTGGTGGGGTTTTCTTTAAAAAGCAGCATTTTAGAGGACAATTACTGACTCAGCTACAACAGAGCAAGTCCACCCCCGGGGAAATCCCTCTCAAGGGTGAGAAAAGCCCCTGGTGCCTACAGCCAGGCTGCTGAGATCAGCCTTGCTCATCCTTCTCCTGTGCACGCCAGACTCTGGAAATAAAGGTGTCACACACACCAGTTGAGGCTAAAAGTAGTCATAATGGTTTCTTAGACCCTTCCTCACAGAAGGACTAGGAGAACAGGGAGCCATGAGAAAACAAGCCGTTTTCCCCTCAAACGGGTATTTTCTGAGCAGGATGGGGCTCTGGCCCCCAGCGGGACACGCGTGACCTACAACTCATCTTACAAACATCATCTACCCCCGCGCATCGTTCAGCAACAGCACCGACTCAGAGTGGTGGCAGGAGGGGTCAGGCATCCCCCCCGATGCCCCTGCCAGCCAGAGGGAACTGGGGTAAACACCACATCCCCACTGTGCCCTTCCCACCCTGGGAAAAAAGCATCACTACCCCCGGCTGCAGTCCCGGGGTGGTCCCGCTGGGACTCAGTGGCCCCAGGGGGGTCTCAGCTGCCCCGAAGGAAGGAGCCCATGGGAGCATCTCGCCTAGCCCCAGTGAAGGGCCGCGTGGATTAACGTGCCAAGAGCAAATATGAAGCCGCTGTTAAATCCCCAAGGCCGAGGGATCAGATCACCACTTCCCATGTTTATTTTAAGGAGGAAGCGCAGCTCCCGGAGGCGTCCAGATCCCGGCACCAAGAGCTTGGGGGGCACTTTAGGGGGCTGGTGGGCCGCCCCTCCTCACCCCACATGCCCCAGAGGTAGCGATTGCCAAGAGGATGGGGTTGTGCCGCCCCACTGCAGCAAGGATGTACCCTCTCCAGCACACTCCCTGTCCTCGAGGGTAAAGCAAAACCTGCTGGCCTTTGGGGAGAGGGTGGTGGCCATGCTGGCTGGGAGACATACTCCCAGTTATTGGGGTGCCCTGGATCAAGACCAGTTACCCAGCAGCCCAAGCTGGGGTTTCCCTGCCAAAAGCTGACTTTTTCCCTATGGGGGACAGCTCATCGGGGCAACCCCCCAGCATAGCCTCCCTACCACCTCCCGCCAGGGCTAGCTCCGCTCCAAAGTGCGGAGCCAGTGCCACTGTCACCTTTCCAGGGAGAAAATCTCGGATTAAAGAGGAACTTCACATCATACAAGTCCCTGTGAGACAGCTGTGGCATCAAAAGCTGTGCACGTCTCACGGGGGAGAGCCCCTCTGCCATGCCGCTGCAGGACAGGGTCGGATGCGGCGCAGGCAGCCCCTCCAAACTCACACCGCCCAAAACGGTCCTGGCATGGATGCTCCATTTTCCCACCCATCCCCTTTGCAGCCCCTAAGTCCCTCCTGGCCATGCACCCGCAGTGCTCCTCGAATCCCCAGAGAGGGTGTCCGGCCTCCAAGCATCCCTGCCCACGAGCTGCCCTCCTCCACGGTGCCACGGCACAGACCAGGGCCCAAATTATCAGATCCAGGCCAGATGCTCCGTGAGTGCATCCGACAGCTGAAGCCACGCTTGCTGCCAGGGTCACCTCAGGCCCAAGCCCTCAGGCTCTTTAAGTGATTTTTCATCCTCGCCTGCCATTTCATTCCCTCTAACAGGATATCACGGCAACTCCGACCCAAAGGATAAGCCGTGAGTTAGCACAGCTTTCTCTCAAGGGAATGTCAGCCTCAGTCCTATTTTTAAACTGAATATATCCTATCGCTGTGCTGGAAGAATGAGAATGCGGAGGGAAGGATGGAAAAGTTACACAGGGAAAGGACAGAAAAGGGGCGCGAGGGAGAGCCTGGTGCAGCATCCTTGCCCCCCCCAGTACCCCAGCAAGGTGGGAGCCCAAACCTCACGCCTCCACATCCATCCCCACGGACTTGCTTCCTCCAGGCGGGTGAACCCCGTGGGGCGGCACTTCCCAAAGCGAGCAGGGCGCCGTCCCTCCACGCTTCGGGGCAGCATCCCACCCGAGCCCGCGGGGCAACAGCACCCCCGGCACCCCCGTGCCCCAGCCTCCCGGG